TTTGACTCAGGGGAAGCTGAGGTTCAGAGAGGCCAAGTGACTTGCTCAAGGCCACACAGCAGAAGCTGAGCAAAGACCACAGCCAGGATTTTCTATTAAAATGGGCTGAGGGTAGGGCCCTCAGTCTTAGCTGCAGATTTTGACCAGGGCCCAGAAGGTGTGTGGGCAGGCAGCCCCTGAGAGGGACTTCTGTGGCCTTCTCAACACGGCAGCTTCTCAGGGAGGACTTGAAGGGGCAGGCGAGGGTGTCTGGGGTGGGGGTGTCCTATACTTACTCTGGGGCCTCGGAGCTCAGAGCCCACGAGGACGCATGGACACACCTCCAGGGAGCCTTCTCCCCATCTTCCCACCCCATCTCCCTCCCCACGCACCCCAGCTTGGCACCCTGGTGTACAGAGGCCCATTTGTCTTATTTATTTTTGGCATTAATCTTCACCCAAGAATATTTTTTCATTGATTTTAGAGAGAGTTGAAGAGAGGGCGAGAGAGAGAAACATCAATATGAGAGACACACACTGATTATTTGCCTCCCACACGGGCCCTGACCAGGGATAGGGATCGAACCTAAAACCCAGGCACTCGCCCTTGACCAGGAGTCAAAGCCACGACCCTTCAGCGCGCTGGCTGCCGCTCTGACGCTGAGCAGCACCGGCCAGGGCTGCCTTCTTTCCTTACAGCTCCAGACTGGCGTCGGGACCGGACCGAAGAGCAGTCTGGCTCCAGCACCCCCTTCCCCGCCCGGGTTAGCCAGTCTGGCTCCCGGAGAGCAAGGCGGGGAACAGTTCAGGCCAGGCCGAGTCCTGCCCCGAGTCGCCTCGACCCCCTGGAGCACAGCGCTGGCACTACGAGAGGCAGGGGGCCGAGCGCGCCCTCTACGCCAGCCTGTCCTAAGGGCCTTAAAATTTAGTCCCACGGAAACCGCGGCTCTATTCCTACCCCTGTTTCTCAGATGAGGAAACGAAGGCTCACAGAGGTTAAGAACCTTGCCCAGGCCCTGGCCGGTGTGGCTCAGTGGGTTGAGCGCTGTTCAGTGCACTGAAAGGTTGCTGGTTCAGTTCCCTGTCAGGGTACATGCCCGGGAGGCAGCCAATCAATGTTTCGCTCTCACATCGATGTTTCTCTCTCTCCCTCTCCCTTCCTCTCCAAAATTTAAAAAAAAAAAAAAAAATCAGGGGGGAAAAAAAAAAAGAACCTTGCCCCATCGCTCAGTTGGGACTGCAGTCTGGCCTCAGGCCCAGACCCGCACAGTTACTGGTCCCTGTGCTCTCCTGCCTCCCAAGAATAGCGACTGATGATAATAATGGTCGTGACCACTTATCAGCCACTTATTATATGCCACTTTACATATGTGCTTTCATTTTGTCACTACTTATATCCCGAAACGCAGATACTATTGTTATGCCCATTTTGTAGTTGAGGAAACTGAGGGTCACAGGAGTTGAGCGGCTTGCCCGGGGCCACAGATCTAGTGAGCAGGAAACCTGGAAATGGCACAGGCCTGTGTGGCATGAGGGCCGTGCCTGTACTTGACACACTGTTACCCCAGCATGTGTTGTCGGATGGACGGACGGATGGATGGATGGACGGACGGACGGACGGACGGACGGACGGAGGATGGATGGATGGATGGATGGATGATGGATGGATGGATGGATGGATGGATGAGTTAGTGAATGAGTGAGTGAGTACTCTGCAGTCCCTCAGAAAAGCATCCCTCTTCCCTGGAGCATCTTAGCTCAGGCGTCATGGAAGCAGCCATCTGGAGGCCGAGCGGGCGCTGACCAGAGAAGGTGGGGTGGAGGCGGGAGGAATGCTCTAGGCTGAAGGAGCAGCACGTAAGGAGGCCCTAGGGTGAGAGGGCGCTGGGGCAGCTGGGCACTTGCAGTGGGAACGAGTGAAGCCTGAGGGGTGGGTAGGGAGGGCTGCGATCAGCGGGCAGGGACTTTATTGGTGGGGAACCGGGATTGTTGAAGGATTTCAAGCAGCATGGTTGGCTTTGCAGTTGGGTGGCTGCCTCTTGCTGCTGCCGGGAGAAGGGCCAGAGCAGGAGCCCAGGTGACACTGGACTAGGGAGGGACAAAGGGGCCAAATCAGGCTACATGAAGATTCAGGGTTAGAGCCTACCCTCGAAGACTCTGCTTTTGGATTTTCTCCCATTTTTTAAAGAAAAGCGTGGTGAAGTATAGACTATACCACCCAGGTCCCCACCAGGCTCCAGAGCCAGACGCTCGCAGCCAGCTGCTGCCCCCGGGAGCCCCTCACTCCCAGCCCCCGGCGCCCACCCCCAAGAGGGCCACCGCTGCCCTGCACTTGCCTTTACCTCTCCATGCGTTTTTTATGCTTTTACAAATACGTGATCTAGTTTTGAATCTTGGTGACTTCATTTAAATGGTATCTAACTCTTCTTCTGTAACTTGTTTTTTTTTCCTCAATATAATGGTTAACCAAAAGATTTATGGTTGGAGATGGAGAACGGTTGGTCCCTTCAAGAGGTATTTAAGTATATTCGTGATAATAATAATTACTGGCATTTACGTAGCTCTCATGTGCCACCTCCACTCTCAGGGCATTATGGCTATCAACTCACTTCATTCTCACTGCAACGCCATGGGGTGTTATCCTGCTGATGGGGAAGCTGAGGCATGGCAGCTTCACACAGCAGGCACTGGGCTTGTGGAGCCAGGTGTGAGCCCGGGCAGCCTTGCGGAGGGCTTGAGGGATGACCGATGGGGGAGGGCAGGAGACCCGGCCCACACTGTGCTGCCCCTGGAGCTGGGCCCATGCTGTCCTGGGCAGGGGTGGGCAGTGCACCGGGTGGGACCCTGACCCTAAAGCCAGTACCTTCCCCCTGCTCCCCGAAGGAAAGAAGCCATCCCCACCTGGGAATGAGGTGGTTGGGTCCTCCCCACATATTCCCAGCCGCTGAGCCACCCTGCGTAGGCAGGTCCCTCCTATCTAGTTCCTCTGTGAATCTGCCCCAGACCACGGAGACACAGCCTGCCAGACCCTCCCAGCCTTGTCATGGCCGCTAGAACCTCTTCTGCTGGCCCTCAGCACAGGCAGGGCAGCCAGCACTGTGCCCTCTTGGCAGACCAACAAACTGAGACCAGACTGGCAGGGTAGAGATGAAGAGTGGAAAGAGGTTCTGGAATCAGAAGGGCCTGGGCTGGGGTTCTGGCTGTCACTTCACACCTTAGGCAGGTGACTTCTCCTCTCTGAGCCTCGGGTCCCTCATCTGTAAAGCGGGCCTCCTGATCTCTCTGGGTTGCTGAGGGGGCTGTGAAATGCTTGCACAGAGCTTCCTTAGTGCGGACCTGGCGCGCCCTGCGTGGCACTGAGGACAGCTGCCGCTGGTGGCATTCTTGTTACCCGGTGCTGATGAGCCCGGCCGCTGGCGCTGAGCTGGACCAGAACCCCGGGCTCTGCCTCAAGGCTCCACACACTCACAGCCAGCCCCACCCCGGACTCCCAGCACGACAGACGGTGGGTCCCGAGCCCCCATTTTCCTGCCTTGTCAGGACCTGAGTGGGGGCGATGGCATCCTCCCCCCCACCATCTTGGGCTTGGGGCCCACTTGGCATCTGGCTGGGAGCCCACGCGGCACAGCCTGCGCCTGAAACAGATGGGAAAGTGGGGGGCTGTCGTGTTCTTCTGATTCAGACATGGGTGGGGAGGGGGCCACACACGATCCAGTGAGCACACCTCCTCCCAGGCCTTCCTGTTGGTGGCAGAGCTGGTGGCTCTGACAAAAGAACAGCTTGCAAGCCCACCTCCCTCGGCTGTGTGGTTTCTCCTCGAAACGGTGTCTGTGTAAATAGTGCTCTGCGCCCTGCTCCCTCCTGGCAGGTCCTTCTCCCTCGGAGAGGGGAGGACACTTTGCGAGAGAGAGAAGGCTTGGGCTCCAGAGGTGGCAGCTGTGCCCAGCCCCATGGTTGTAGGCAATTCAAAAGGACTTCTGCCTTAGTTTCCCTATCTGTGAAATGGGGACACTAACAATACCAACAAAAACAAGTGGCTGTAAGGATTCATGAGTAAACTCATGTAAAGTGCCAAGGATGGCCCTGACACACTCATCCAGATGGGTACCCTTTGTGCCAAGCTTGGCACAGTGGAAGGGAAACTGAGGACAGCAGTGCTGGGACCGAGGCTATCCAGCTGCGGCCCACCCAGCACTGAGGTGGAATTCACTCCATGAGTAATTGCCTCAGCCCAAGGTTTCCTGGAAGTCCGGCCACTGCGAATGCAGTGTGTTGCTGGCCCTGGCCCTCCATGGGCCGTCTGTGGTCAAGGGAAAGGTTCTGGAGGTAGCAAGCTCCCTGTCGGCTGATGTATTCAAGCCTCACAGTCTGCATTCTGCTTTTACAGTCCACGGACCCTTTACTTCCTTACATCTATCCTGGGGATGGACAGAGCGGGGCCAGTGGTCCCTATTTTACAGAAGGGGAAACTGAGGCATTGTGTTTAGTCAGCACCAGAGTCAGGATTCCTAGGACCCTGGGGAGTGAGAAGGAGCCTTCTGGATAGTGAAGGTTGGTATAACAGGGGCGTCAAGGTTAGCCCACCTGCTCCTGATCTCGGGGTGGCATGGCAGAGTGAGTGTCAGTCCCTCCAGCTCCTCAGCCCCAGACAGTAATTGCAATAAACAGGCTCTGTTCATTGGCATTTACTACTTCACCCCCACAAACCTTCTAAATAGGTGCAATCGCCCGTGTTGCATGTGAGGAAGCAGGGGTTCAGAGAGGTAGAGGCATTCACTCAGGGAAACACAGCAGTTGGTTCTCAAGCTGGATTTGAACCCTGAGCTGTCTGACACTCTAATCTTAAATGCTCTGCCAGGTACCCAGTTTGTTGCCTGAAGCTGGTATTGCTGGCTCCATTCTGCATATGGGGAAGCTGAGCTCGCCTAGGGTCACTCGGCAGGGGTGGTGGGGTTTCTGAGCCCCAAGTCCCTTCCCTTCCTCCCTCAGAGTGACCTCACACACCCCCTTTTCTGCCCTGAGAGCAGCAGGAGCTTCCAGCCCATGTGAACTTCTCGGCTGCCCCCGCCCCTATGCCCGCGGTGCCCACCACCCTGCACTCCAAGATGGAAGAACTGGAGGGGCAGCTGCTGGCCAAGGTGCTGGCACTGGAGAAGGAGCGTGTGGCCCTCAGTCACAGCAGCCACCAGCAGCGGCAGGAGGTGGAGAAGGAGCTGGACACCCTGCAGGGCCGCATAGCTGAACTGGAACATGGTGGGTCCTGGGCCCCTCAGTGGGCAGAGCAGGCAAGGCCTTGGTCCTCAGATGGGCTCTCAGGGAGGAGATTCACTGGAGAAACATTTCGTGCTCTCCAGAGGCTAAAGATAGAGCAGCGGGGAGGAGGCTGAAGCACGAGAGGAAGAGAGTAATTGGTGGCTATTATTAGCATTATTAGTAAGTTAGTATTTCCTGGTACTTGTTATATATTCAGAGTGGGCTAAATAATTGGCACATTAGCTGGTTTAATCTTCACAAACCAGAAAGGGATGGTACTGGTGTTATTGCCATTTCACAGATGAGGAAACTGAAGCTCAGAGATGTCAAGTGACTTACCCAAGGTCACACAGCCAGTGAGTAGTGGATCTAGACCTCAAACCAGGTCTGACTCCAAAGTCCACGCATTTAAGCACCCCACAAAATAGCACCTTCAGTGAACCAGAATTTCGTCATTTGTTTAACACCTGGGCCTGGCACTGCTAGCGGGTCAGAGAAACATGAGGGAGCGGACAGCGGACAGGTATGAGCATCAGGAGACCTAGCCCCTGGTTCCCCAGCTGTCACTGACTTGCTCTGTGACTTTGGAAGTTTGCTTCCTTCCCCCAGGCCTCATTTTCCTCACCTGAAGAGATTTAGGGCTTGTAAGCTCTTAGGGACCTTTCATCGTTGAAACCTTGTGAGACCAGCCATAAGGGACTTATGGACAAGTTGGGGATTCCAGGGAAAACCATGAGCAATTAGCTGGGACTGGCTTAGATGTAAGACAGGAGTTCTGGAGAAAGAAATCCAGGAGGCTTCCTGGAGGAGGTGGGCCTCAAGCTAGTCCTTGAAAACAGGTGGCGAGTGAATTTTGGAGCGAAGGGGCCATAGCAGGGGCACAGCAGGTGAAGGGAGGCATAGCAGGTGCTTAGGGACTAGTAGGCCCCATTCTGGAGTGTGCCCTGCCCACCCCACCCTCATCAGTGTCCACTGACTCCCACCGTTTCTGCCTTCCCCACCCCCTCAGGGTCCTCGGCCTACAGCCCCCCTGACGCCTTCAAGATCAGCATCCCCATTCGCAACAACTACATGTACGCCCGCGTGCGGAGGGCGCTGCCCGAGCTCTACGCCTTCACTGTCTGCATGTGGCTGCGGTCCAGGCCGGGCAGCGCGGGCCAGGGCACGCCCTTCTCCTACTCAGTGCCGGGGCAGGCCAATGAGATCGTGCTGCTGGAGGCAGGCCCGGACCCCATGGAGCTGCTGATCAACGACAAGGTCAGCGGGGGTGGGCAGACTGGAGGGACGGGGGCAGGGGTCACCCTCTGGGAGCTCTGGTCACCCTTCCAGGAGCACCCACTGCGCTGGGCCCCGGACATGTGGGCCCTTTTCGTTCTCTCACTCAGTGTATTCAGCACACACACCATGCCTGCTGTGTGCCAGCTGGGCTCTGGAAACACGGTGACAAGCCAGACCTGGGGCTGGCTGGAGAGGGGCTCGTGCCCGCGAGGCTGTAAGCGTGGAGCTCCCATTTACAGGGGAGGCGTGTGAGGCTCTCGGAGATTCCGTGACTTCCCCAGCGCCCGGCTCTAGGAGCAGGGCTGGCAGTGTCTGCCTCCGGTCCTGCTCATTTTCTTGGACAAGGAGAGAGATCCAAGGACCTCCCTAATGAAGAGCCCCCCC